ACCCCACCCACACCCACACCCACACCCACTCACACCCACACCCTATTTGAGTCACACATCTTTGATTTTAACGAAACAGTTTCGTATGACGCTTGACAACGGTGAATATTAGTATATACAATCATGCGTAGTAGTTTCTGATCATCTTAAAGGTTCATCCAGATATACTCTAGTTTACGCCTTGTTAACTATTTTCTCCATAGTCACACTCCTGTACACCAGCAAGGGGAATTCCTGCATAGAAACAATCTGGTGTGTAGTTTGTGATGTCACTAGGATGCCGCTGTGGCCACTTATCCAGAGCCTGACCCCCACACCCACAACTACACCCAACATGCAACACTTACCTTCACAATCAGCAAGCAAAACCAAATGAAAAGAAAAACAACGAACACCACTTTTTATTCATCGACATGAGTAACATTGCTGTCCAAGTTTGTTCTATACTGCTATCAGCGATTACTAATCCTTTTTTTTTTACTTTTTCTTTTTTTCTTGTTACTTACGGCTATTCGTGCACTATCAACAATAAAAGTACATGACAAGAGCAGAAGTAGGTAAGCAAGGAAACCAAACAACGCATGGACTTTATTTATTAAAGAACATATTTCGATGAATAACATATTTACTGAGCTACAATAATAGGTAGTAAAATGATTTTGCATTATCAAGCTAGTAGTTTTGGTGATGCACTGCACTTAGCGAGGATGTGTCAATGTGGGTGTGGTTGTGGGTGTGTGGTTGTGTAGGTGTGGGTGTGTGTGTGGGCTGTGGGTGGGGTGTGAGTGTGGGCTGTGGGTGGGGTGTGAGTGTGCGTGTTGTCTTAATGTGAATACACACGCACACCTCCACCCACACTCATACTCACACCCATGCCCAAACCCACACCCCACACCCACACCCCACACACTGACACCCACACTCACACCCACACCCTAGTTTAATAACATATATTAGTAATGAAGACAACATATATTCGATGGAAAATCTGTCAGCACATGATTCTATGATGAAAATATGCGAAGCCAAATCAATGTACGATTAACCATACGAACAAATGAAACAAAACTACTTAGAAATACAAAAGTATTTAAATACTAATACCTGAGTCCGTCAAACAGGAACACAGATATTTTCAAAGTTTATTTCAAAAATAATTTGACTGAATCATGTATAGTTCACAAAACACGGTTGTCTTTCGAGAAGCTTTTTATTCTAGTCTAATACTTCTGATGAATAAATCTTGTAGATGTTGGAGTGTATCTGAGATTCTTGGAAAATTTTCAAAGAAAAAGTAATTAAATAGGAGTTAAGAATTAATTATATCTAAAAGTATTTAGGAATGTATTAACTTGTTATCTTTCTGAAACTACAGAATGTTTCGAAAGTCCTAACTATTTAAGAAAGCATCAATTCATTAATTAAAAAATGGTATGCAATTCTTTTTCTTTATGAATAGCTGAATTCTATTAGCGTTATTTTGGAATTTAAATCATAATCAACATGTAATTTTATATATAATAAGAAGGTGGGTGAAAACCTTCATATATCTCATGTACACACTGCACTCTTACTATTTCGTTCGAAAATATGCATAAGTTCAGAAAAGAACAGACCTGAATACTACAAAGAGTATATTCAAACTTTATTTTAACCTACATGAGGAACATGATGTGTAGACAAATACCTAATAGATAGAAATTTGATTGATATTCATAGCCGGTGGAAGTAACAACAATTAATGTATTGACCGATGGATTGATATGCGTACATTATCTTTATATGTCCATCACTACAATAGCATCAAAATAAAACGACTAGCAGTAAAGATTACTAGTGCTAAAATTTAACGAATGATTATTGCATTAAAAAACACGTTCTAAACGTTAAGACAGCCTATGGATGCCAGCACCCAGTGAGAAAAAATATATTTACATCCCCTACACCATAATTCTACAGTCGTCAAAAACTGACAAGTAATCAATGATTTTTTTCATTGAAAATTGATGCTGTGTGTTGATGAAGATGTAAGAGATTTTCTTTTGAAACTATCTTATTTTCGGTATTTCCATTGTCTTAGACTCATTTTGAAATCGAAGAAGTGTTACAACATCACAGTAACGTATAAAGAAATGTGACCAAGTACATAAGAGAGAACCAGAGACTATGCTAATTTTGAAAGTAGACTAGTGCTTTTCTATCACATGAAATTAATGAATAATGATCATTCTTATCTAGATCTATGAAATGAATTAGGCCTTTTTTTCAGATAATCAAATCTAAAATTAAATATTTTTCTAAAATCAATCTTTCCCTTATTCTGACGACTCTTTACTTCAAATTGTAACACTCGAGCTCATTCCTATGATGACATATTATTAAATTGATTAGAATATTATATTTACTGTTTATTTATAAAGCAATACTCTTATTATTTGATAGAATGACATTTGTAAATGAAAAGCTTTTAAATTCATATTAGTTTATATCTATTTGGATCAAGAACATAAGGATTTATGAGATGATGTTGAACAAGTAATCCAAGTGTTGTTAAAGCGAGTTTCTCTTCGACTGCTGGTCCATGATTTTGCCAATATTCACCGAACACGCCATGAGAATCTGCTGGATTAAGTTGAGAAACGCGAAAGCCTTGGCGAGCAATAGTAAAAGTTAATTCATGCATATCTTGATCAACAATAAGAACAGGAATAGATCCAGAATAATTGTTCGCTCTAAATTCGTTAACAAAATCATCGTAAGTATCTGGAAGCCGGCGTCCACTAGTGTCTTTGGAGAAGATAGGCAATGCGAAGACAATAGCACGAATATTTGTAAACGTAAATCCTTCTTTTTGAAGTACGTATCGAGCGGCATAGGCAGAGAGTTTTCGTATTTGATCATCGATTCCAAGATGCTTGCCAGCGAATACACCAAGACCTATACCTGTTTCAACTACAATCTCTACTCTTTCCATGTCGCATGCTCTTAGTCGTGTTCTTACCATTTTCATAAGATCATCTAATACGCGTCTAGTGTCAAGTTGAACGGGAGGATGAGATCTCAATAGATAAAAATCTCTCCCATGAAATACTGCTGGCATGCCTGTACTTCTATCGAGATGAAACACTTCTTTCCAATTGGTGATGTATGTTGTGATATCATCGACATCATGTTCTCGTCCAGCAAAGTCAATACCTGTGACTGAAACAAGTTTGATTAGATTTGGCCAATTGTCGTCCAGCGAACGAGATAATATCTGTGCATCGAATTTCATCAAGATAGGACAATCAGAAATACGAACGACAAATTTCATACAAAAAGCTTCGTTACCATGCTTACTTTTTCCCTGAAGAGCTTGGCAAAGAAACTCTTTGTCCATTCCTTGGATAGTTCGATCAGCATAGACGGCAAAAGAACCTTGCCACTTCAAAATCTCAGCCACGGTTGTAACAAATGCATTGGATTGCTTATCAGGAAAATAAATTTTTGTAGTCGGATTCATTTTCTGAACAGGTATACGAATTTCAAATGCTCGTACACCAGAAACTATGTATTTTCCCTCAATATTACGAAAATCAAAGTTTTGCCGAAGAAAATTTTCCATCTGGTCAGTTTCAGGAATACATTGACCACTCATTGGTCCACGTTTGTTCATGATTGGGAGATTGTGGCCAAGATATTCCAAAAGATCTCGTACATCTTTCCTTGTGTTTTTCTCAATACCAAAAATCTGGCTTGGATAGGCTGCTCTGGGTGTTCTTCTTGGAGATAATTCTTCGTCTGCGTGAAAAGCATTCTTCAAGACTTCTGAACGTTCAAAATGTGCTTCTGGTGATTTTGGTATCTGATTATCCAGTTTACGAGGTAAACTAACAGAACCTGCAAGTTTGTTTTTTTGTTTAAAATCCTGTGCGTTATCTCGTGATTGATTGACCCGATTATCACTAACTGGAGTAGCGACTGAATCCGGTTTATGATGTACGACAGGTGGATATCGGGAACGATTCCTGACATCGTCCACATTGGTCGATGACTTAGGATCTCTTCGTTGATTCTCACGTTGTTCTCTCGGGAAAATGAAATCTGATTCTGTAGGATCTCCTGGCATAGGTCTCTGCCCATGTCTTGCGATTGAATCATTAGTTTCATCTAAGGAAAGAAAAGTAATTGATTGTTTTACATAGATTTACTGAAGATACTTCATATTCAGGAAATCAACCATTGTTTGATGTAAAAATAAAATAAGAGGAGTTAAAACAAAAGATTCTTGCTGGAATTAAATCTATGAAAATCTCACCTATTTAGTTGCTAACGTTTGCCCACAGAAAATTTATAATTCTACAAAGAGAATTTTCCTTGTTTTGGTCGCTATTTAGTATCTTAATTAAAAATTGAGTTGGTTCGCATGATTATAGACTCCAATAAACGAACTCAATAATAGTAAACACAAAGTATTCTCACTCTGCGAGTCGAACATCGCCAAGATGACGTTCACATTAAAGTCTTTACTGTGATAGAGTCGTTTCAAGCCATTTGTCTGACTTGATATATCGCCGGCCACACTTTGGATGACAGTTTCAATATTAATATTATATGATGTAATGTATTTCAGCAAATTTTCCATCAAATAACCATTACGATTATTTCCCGATTCACTTTTCATCATTGTGTTCGGACAATATGAATATGCTATCAATGTTCGTGATGGAGCATTCATGCTTAACAATTTTTGTTGGCTAATATCTATGTTTTCCATCGGCTTTCTACAGCAGTCAAGTATGAATATTTTGGCATAGCAATTTTTGTTAGCATATTGCATTAAATTTCCTATTGAAATACGTTTATCTAACAGACACAAACAATTCTCATTGTTATGTGACATGGCATGACCAGCGAAATAAAATAGTATTAAATCTTCAGGTTGAGTTTGACGAAAAAATGCTGCAAATAATTTCGTGAATTGTTCCAGTTTAAGATTGGTTTCTGACGTTACAGCGAATCCAATACGTTTTAAAGTTACATTAAGATCTTCAGCATCCTTGATGCAATAGTCTAATGGATTTCTGGTGTAATTATTGTTTCCAATAATTAATGCTCGCTTTCGAAAAGAGGTGTCTCTTGATGCCATCAAATCTGAAATTCTTTACCAAACACAAATTAGTCATCATGGAGATTTCTCAAAGAACAAAAGAAAGAGTTCTTTACATGTTCTCATACTATTAGCATCGCTCTCTATTACTTTTGATAGAAAACATGTTTTAAAACACATAAGAAGCTAACTATATCATGGCAAATACATAGACAATCGAAAAACAACAATGTCACTCCTAAAGTACTCCAATAATTTTAACATTGATGATAATAGTTTTTTTTTACAAAACCTAAGCATTTTGGCAAAGTCAATCGATATTCATTGTATGCTATTAATTTGTTCATAGAAAATAAGATAAGTTATAAACTGTCTTCCACATAAGAGCAGTAGATAATGATAATTGTATGGCTCCAATTTTCATTAATTAGTATATTAGATGTTCATATGAAGCTTGAGCAATATTTAACATTAATCGAATATTTTCATTGATTTTTCTTCTGTTTTCATATAATCATCGCATTTCATGATTGGCCATCGTCAATATTAGGAGTAACCATCAATGCATGCCATTACATTAGCAATTAAAATATATTCATGAATGCTATATAAAAATATATACAATATCATATACGATCACTATTCTCATCATTACGGATTTAATTTTCGTTTCATACTTTGAAAAAAAAATCGCATTTACAAAAAATGTTCTATGAAGTTCTTTTTGTTAACAAAATACCCGTCCAACAACGACAGAAAGCACATGCTTTTTAAGAATGAGTTAACGACAGTATGTGTTTTTTGCTATTCTTTTATCAAAATGACTTTTATTTCTCTCTTTCTTTCTTCCCACTACAACATTGCTTCAAAGAAAGTTTTCTTTTCTTCCGAGAGACAAGGGTGGGTGTGGGGTGTGGGTGTGGGTGTGGGTGTGGGTGTGGGTGGGTGTGGGTGTGGGTGTGGGTGCGGGTGGGTGTGGGTGTGGATAGGTATACAAGAGTTACCTACACCGTCATTCACATCCACCAATACCCACCTACGCTCACACTCACAACCTCCCACACCCACACCCACACCCACACCCACACCCACACCCACACCCAGTG